ATAAAAATCAAAATTCATTGATTATAATCGGTTAAAAGTGGATTCTAATCTTAAATTTTGTCAAATTATTACAGCGCATGTGAATTGAAAATGATATTTTTTAGAAGATTGTACTATTGAACTATTGTGGATTTTTTAATTCTTAAACTAACTAACAAATCAACGCCCCTTTTGGATCTCCAGTATATGACCCCCACGGCTTAAAGGTTCTTATTTTAATCCCCTCGTGCCCTCGTGCACACTTTCCTTTTACTCCCCCAAACCGCTTTCAACACTCTCACCCACGTTGATAAAAACCCTCCCACGTTTACTAGCCGTCCCCCTTCCATCCATGTTTATACCCCTCCCCACGCCGATTAAATTTTCTCAATTACATCCCCTCAGTGACCCATAAGAATCATAAAAAAATCGCATGCATCTATCAGCTCAGGCTAATTTTTGCTTGGTTTTTGATAATATTTTTCAGGTTATTTTGTTTTAACATATGTTTTTTTTTCAAAATTAAAACAAAACAAAGTTTATTCGACAGATTTCTCCAAGTTTTTTTAACGATTTTTATGATAGTTTCATTGTGAAAAAAGCGTTAAGTTTGATTTGCAGTAAGAGCTGGTTACATTGTACAAAAAATTCCAAAGGTTGAAAAATGAGAAACAAAAGATTCCATTGTTTATGGAGTTTCAAAAAATGGAAGTTTTTCTGTCAAATAAAAGAAATATGCAAACAACTTCACTATCGTCTTAACAATCAGCAGTTTTTCATCGATGATAAACAGAAAATTCAATTAACATTGTTAAAAGTTTTTTTGCCGAAGTAGTCTTATTAAAACTTTTCCTTGTGTTATTATAACGGCGATACTTCTTACTTTTACACTAAATAACTAGTGGTCATTTACTTTTGCAATTTTTTTGTACCTAATGGGAACATTTAAAGTCCTCAAAGGTACTTTTTTCTGGTTGTGTAGGCAGCCATAACATAACGGAACATTTTTTGTGATAAGAAACGAGAAATTGAAAAAATCTAAATGAATCTATATTCCTTATTGGAATTGACTTTTATGAAAATTTGATTAGACACGACTAAAGACCAAATTAAGAAAGTCTATTCTGATTGGTTTAAAACACTCATTTGAATTGAAGGTTCTCCTAATTCTCAAGAAAAAATCATTTTTTGCATTTTTTTCTCAACTTAACTAGTGTCAACTACCTCCTCTCTCAGCACTAAGTCAGTCATATTTTTCGTTTTTAATCAGTCTCTTTGATTTTTACATCTTATTGTACAAAATTTTTACGTGCAGAAAACCAGCCTTGCGTACTTGGTCGAGTTTTCACCACAAATGATTACAACCAAGGTGTTCGAGTCAGTCTTCAAGATTTCCTTGCCTCAAATGGATGTGCCAATTCAAATGTGGCCCATGGTCTAGATCACAAGAGGAGATTTCGACGAGCATCATTTGCATCAAGTTGCCACCACCGAACAATGGGAAGTCGCAGGTTGCAGAACGCAGGAATGAAGTCGCACATAATTAATATATTATTACACTTTTCATTCCAACTTTCAATTAACCTCTCCTATAGTCTCTCAGTATTTGTTCCCCTCCCCACTTTTGCGCCTCTTCAGCTTTACAGCTCCCTCCGGCTTACACGTACTTATATACGTACCCTCGTGTACACCCCCCATTTGCTCCCTCACCTCGTTTACAACCCCCTCCCCACGTTTACAAACTCCCTCCCACATTTTTACCCTCATCGCCAATTAAACGCTCTCGCTTACTTCTCCTCATTTGCGACGCCCCCCCCCTTAAGTTTACAAACCCAAGACCAACTTTTCGCTCCATTGAGAACTTAGCGTTCTTGATCCCTGTTTTGAGGATGTGTTAACGCGGAGGGGGATAGGGGGTTGGGGCGATCATCAATTGCGCTGGGTTGTGTAAAACAAGAGGGGTGAGGGGAGATTGGGGTGATCAGTAATCGGAAGAGGGACCATATTAAAATAATTAGGTTTAGAAATCGAGTAACACGTCAGTATAGCAAAAAATGTTAAAATTTTGCAACAAGATATGCAAAAATTATAGAGCTTATAATCATTTATAATCAATTTTTATTTAATACATTATTATGGATTTTGTTATACGGAAATAATCGATTACTTTGATACAATAATCAATTTTGTGGTCTTAAATTGCAGCAAAAAGGATTACAATGACAACAATTTAGACAGCATTTTTCAATCATAATCTTTTTATATCCAAGAAACTCCGGAGCGGGTTCAATATGGTGAAATATAGAAACTTTCAAAAAATCAGACAACCTGTGCTTGCGTTCATTTTAAAAATTCCGTTAAGTTCCAACTACAGTAGGTGCTGGTTAAAATGTAAAAAAAAACTCCGACGGTTGAAAAACGAGAAACATGAAATTCTATTGTTTATGAAATTTCAAATAAAAGAACTTTTTCTGACAGCTAAAAGAATTATGCAAAAAATTTTACTATCTTTTCGACAATCAGCGCTTTCTCAGCAATTAATTACTGAAAATTCAATTGAATTCAAGAAAAAAATTGCAGTATTGCTATTTGTTAAAAAATATTCTTGTGTTCCTTATATTGGCAATTGTTCCTATTTTTACAGCAAACAACTTGTGGCCATTTATTTTTGCAATTTTTTTTTCCTGTTTGTCTTTCTCCGAGTTTGTAGAAAAAAACTGTACAGCAGATGAATTTATTTTAAAGAATGGTAGAAAAAAGTCCCGTGTAATCAAAACAATGGGAGATTTAAGAAAGCGTGGCCGAGGTGTGCTCACGATTTGACCTCCTTTGGTAAAACTTTCTGTCATCCTTTTACGTCAATCAATTATAAAATGTTTCCACAGTCGCCTTAGGCGTCGATAATACTAATAAAGTAGTAAATTTACTTTCTCTTCTCATTTTTCCGAAGGTAGCAAATAAAAAGAAAAAATAGATTTTAATTGAAAAATAAAACAAATTAATCTATATTTTATTCAAATTCACGAGGCTTCGAAGTATACATCAACAAAGCATAGGTTTAAAATCTACATAACAAACATTTGAAAAAAAAATCTTTTCTGTTATAAAGCCCAATTTTGATTGGCTTGTTGGTTGTCAAAAGTCCTGTGTAATCAAAACAATGGGAGATTTAAGCGTGGCCGAGGTGTGCTCACGATTTGACCTCCTTTGGTAAAACTTTCTGTCATCCTTTTACGTCAATCAATTATAAAATGTTTCCACAGTCGCCTTAGGCGTCGATAATACTAATAAAATAGTAAATTTACTTTCTCTTCTCATTTTTCCGAAGGTAGCAAATAAAAAGAAAAAATAGATTTTAATTGAAAAATAAAACAAATTAATCTATATTTTATTCAAATTCACGAGGCTTCGAAGTATACATCAACAAAGCATAGGTTTAAAATCTACATAACAAACATTTGAAAAAAAAAATCTTTTCTGTTATAAAGCCCAATTTTGATTGGTTTGTTGTTTGTCAAAAGTCCTGTGTAATCAAAACAATGGGAGATTTAAGCGTGGCCGAGGTGTGCTCACGATTTGACCTCCTTTGGTAAAACTTTCTGTCATCCTTTTACGTCAATCAATTATAAAATGTTTCCACAGTCGCCTTAGGCGTCGATAATACTAATAAAATAGTAAATTTACTTTCTCTTCTCATTTTTCCGAAGGTAGCAAATAAAAAGAAAAAATAGATTTTAATTGAAAAATAAAACAAATTAATCTATATTTTATTCAAATTCACGAGGCTTCGAAGTATACATCAACAAAGCATAGGTTTAAAATCTACATAACAAACATTTGAAAAAAAAAAATCTTTTCTGTTATAAAGCCCAATTTTGATTGGTTTGTTGTTTGTCAAAAGTCCTGTGTAATCAAAACAATGGGAGATTTAAGCGTGGCCGAGGTGTGCTCACGATTTGACCTCCTTTGGTAAAACTTTCTGTCATCCTTTTACGTCAATCAATTATAAAATGTTTCCACAGTCGCCTTAGGCGTCGATAATACTAATAAAATAGTAAATTTACTTTCTCTTCTCATTTTTCCGAAGGTATCAAATAAAAAGAAAAAATAGATTTTAATTGAAAAATAAAACAAATTAATCTATATTTTATTCAAATTCACGAGGCTTCGAAGTATACATCAACAAAGCATAGGTTTAAAATCTACATAACAAACATTTGAAAAAAAAAATCTTTTCTGTTATAAAGCCCAATTTTGATTGGTTTGTTGTTTGTCAAAAGTCCTGTGTAATCAAAACAATGGGAGATTTAAGAAAGCGTGGCCGAGGAGTGCTCACGATTTGACCTCCTTTGGTAAAACTTTCTGTCATCCTTTTACGTCAATCAATTATAAAATGTTTCCACAGTCGCCTTAGGCGTCGATAATACTAATAAAATAGTAAATGTACTTTCTCTTCTCATTTTTCCGAAGGTAGCAAATAAAAAGAAAAAATAGATTTTAATTGAAAAATAAAACAAATTAATCTATATTTTATTCAAATTCACGAGGCTTCGAAGTATACATCAACAAAGCATAGGTTTAAAATCTACATAACAAACATTTGAAAAAAAAAAATCTTTTCTGTTATAAAGCCCAATTTTGATTGGTTTGTTGTTTGTCAAAAGTCCTGTGTAATCAAAACAATGGGAGATTTAAGAAAGCGTGGCCGAGGTGTGCTCACGATTTGACCTCCTTTGGTAAAACTTTCTGTCATCCTTTTACGTCAATCAATTATAAAATGTTTCCACAGTCGCCTTAGGCGTCGATAATACTAATAAAATAGTAAATTTACTTTCTCTTCTCATTTTTCCGAAGGTAGCAAATAAAAAGAAAAAATAGATTTTAATTGAAAAATAAAACAAATTAATCTATATTTTATTCAAATTCACGAGGCTTCGAAGTATACATCAACAAAGCATAGGTTTAAAATCTACATAACAAACATTTGAAAAAAAAAATCTTTTCTGTTATAAAGCCCAATTTTGATTGGTTTGTTGTTTGATAGTCAAATCATAATACTTGAATCTGATTGGTTGAGAATTATCAAAACCAGAGTCGCATAAAGCGTAGGGAGTAACTTTGACTCTGGGCCCTAGAACTAGAAAAAAAGGGGGGAAATGGAATGAAGTCTAGGAGGGTTCGAAGAAGGCTAGACATGTGAATGGTTTGCAGGTGCTCTGCTGTGGCTGCTGCTTGACATGGACTTTGTCCTGATCTTCGGATGGGGGCCACTTCTGTTTGAGACTTCCGTTGCTCAGATTCCAACATCGGATGCGCCCATCGGAAGATACTAAACACTTCTAGTGATCACGAAATAGAAATTATTATAATTTAAAACATGGTCAGTAGAAAGTTGGATAAGTGCACTCAAGAATACCTTTATATTCCGCTGGGCTTTTTACTTTGCACTTTTTTCGCGTCAGTTGAACTTTTATTAGATGTTGTTTAATACTCGAGAGCGACCTTTGCCTTCCTTTTAGCAACTCCTTTTGAATTGAACTAAAAGCAATACAAAGATAGCCGGTTGCTGTGCAAAGAGCACAGAATGTTCCCCCACCATAGTCTTGAAAAAATACAAAAAAAAAGTTTTTTCAAATTAGTGTCGTTTTTTTTCTGCGTGGTGTGATAAAAAGATCTGAGCGAAAAAACAGACCTTAAGCGCATTCTACAGTCATAGTAAACTAGGCCAATTGGAAAACTGTTTTTTAGAAAAAGGACTACAAAAACGAAAAAAAAAAATCATAAAAAATGTTGCAGAAGTTTTTGATTCCCAAAATGTTACTAAAAACTCCTAAAACTTAATTTACTCGAGCAAAACAAATTTTTCACGGCTTAAATTAAGCATAAATAAGCTTTTATTAGCTTGAAATTAGACCAAAAATTTAAAAAAAAAACGGGTTTTCTCGACAGAAAATTTGTTCTAAATTCTTTAATATCGTTGGAATCTACCTGATTTCATGTCGTTAGTCGTGGTACCTGATTTTGCGTAGAGCACAAAAAACTAAAACACACGAAAACAAAGGTCGTCCTCATTTTTCAAATGGTCAGAACGAAAACTCCGTTCATTGACATTTAACCAAAATGAGTTTTTGAAATCGTATCAGGATCAAAATAATCAGTTTTTTTGCGATTATTTTGATTCTGATACGACTTCAAAAACTCATTTTGGTTAAGTGTCAATGAACGGAGTTTTTGTTCCGACCATTTGAAAAATGAGGACGAACTTTGTTTTCGAGTGTTTTAGTTTTTTTGTTTCTACGCAAAATCAGGTACCACGACTAACAGCATACTACTTGCAGTCAAAACACTGAGTTTTAAATAAACACAGCCAACAGACAGTTGGAAGTGTCAATGAAAGCAAGCAAACAAAAAAAACTTTTCAACTTCAAAAAATTGAGGAATAAAAATGAGCTTTGAAAAACAAAAACCATTAGCCGCAATCAAAGAAAAAAACGGCAAATGGGAGCTTCAAAAGTCCAAGCAAATAAGCCATGAGTCAAAAAGCTTGGAAAAAATGGAATTCAAACCACCTCTAGAAATCAAGTTTTATGTCTTAGCAATTGCTACCAGTTACCTAGCGACACGAAAAACATGACGACGAATCTAATAGAACACGAGTGGTACATAGATACTCAAATTGAAAAAAATAGGTTAAATATAAGTTTGGGCGGGTTAATTTGGTAAAAAGTAACTTCTAAATCTAACTCAAAAATAGCTACTTAAAACAATTTAAAACGTCCTAGACGCCTGAAATGAGGCTAGATAATAGTTTGAAGGAGCTCGCTCTCTCTTTCTTTCTAGGAGGGCTAATTCAGAGTTGATGAAAATTCCTAATTTAAAAACCAAAATGCAGAGAATGTCGATAAGTTACAGGGGAACGAAACTTTACAATTTACTTAAACAGAACTTTTTAATGCCCAATGAATTCACTAATTTTTCACAGGCAAATATTCAAAGCGTGGCTCACCGAATTAGAGATCTGTTCATTCTAAGCAACGAAGAACTCATCAAATTTATCTTTCGCCAGAATTAAATTGAGTTGTTCCTAAAAGATATATGTATATATGTATATATATATGTATATATATGTATATATATATATGTATATATATATATATGTATATATATGTATATATGTATATATTTGCATATGATGGATAGATGGAAAATAGATATAATAATAGGAATTAAAATACCATGGCTGCTCCACGGACCCGAGATTTTTTTGACGTAATCCCCGGAAAACCTAGTACGACGGACTCTTTGTGAGTTTAGATTACTGAATAAAAGTCTCGGAAAAGTGGAGCATCCATTAAGAATTAAAAAGAAAAAAGAAAAACATAAATTTTTTCCAAAATGGGCCGAAATGGCCCGCTTGAGGGGGAACCTATGCCCAATTTTTCGTTTTTCCTAAAAAATCACTTAGAAATTTCATATTCATGCCCAAGGCTTACAGTGAAAGGAAAAAACTTGTATTTTTTTTTTTTTTTTCTTAGGTAAACATTATAATCAATTCATCATTAACATTTGCAACTGTTTTAAATAAACTAAGTTATGTTGTGTGTTACTTAAAACGGAGATAAATCATGCCATTTCTGAGTAGGCCTTTAGACCCTCTAATGTATGATTTTATATTTCACCTTTTTTGTTCGTTCTATTTTTGCAAATATGTTGAATTTATGCACTAGATTTCATAATAATTTGAAACCCAACTAACTACATCATTCATGTTTCTAATATTTTTTGGGGCAGCATTTAGTATCCCTTATGGGATCGTTAGCTGTCCTCTCTTTGATACTGATGTATTTATGCGCAATATGATATGAATTTTCTAGTAACATTGAGAAATTAATTCTTTCTTTCTTTCTTTCTTTCTCTCAAGTGACGACAGCTTACATCATTTGTATAAAATCTCACTTGAAATCAAAGGGGTGGGCGGATTTTGAAAAACAATTCAAAAATTTAGCCAACCTTTTTTTAGGTCGACCAAATTGATTTTCAGAGCGCTCCCAAATAATTATAAGGACCCCATTTTGACATCATTTTCTGGGCCGCAGGCATTTTTTGTGAAAAAGGTCAAAAACTGCGTTTTTGAGAAATTTTTTAGCAAAAAATTGCGTTTTTTCGGCGCGCACTCCCCAAATCCGTCCCTGCTTGATATCACTTCATAATCATTATTACCAGTGAGTAGGTGAAGTGAGTCCCTGGTGAAAGCGCAGTCCCAGTACCAATTACCACTACTGCTGCCATTGCCACTAGAGGTGTCTTCTGAGAGGGTGAAGAGGAGGTTGAAGTCAGTTGTAGTCCACACTCTCGCACTGCCGTCTGCACTGCACGTAGCCAACAGACTACAAAACAGACAGCACTAGTTAATCTAGCCACTTATTTCCCATTTCACCATTGAACGAAAAAAAATCTACCAACTCCTCCAGGCATTTGTCAGAAACTCCTCTAAAGAAAGACAATTTTGAAGAAAACGTCAACACTTCATGCGAGCATTAATTTAACTCATAGAGGCAGAGCTTCGCGCCACATCACAAGAAAACCGCTAAGTAAAAAAACTAATATATCAAAATGAATACAGCTAAGAAGACATGCCAAAGCAACACAATTTAAAATCTAGCATTGGAAGAAAATTTACCGAGCGGCAACAAAGCCGAAAATAAGGTAGCAGAAATCCTTTAAGCTGAAAAAAAATGTTAAGTTCCCCTCACTCTCAAAACACACACGCATACAAACAATTTTCGCTCATCAAACGACGCAATATGAGGCCACTAAGCCAATATAATTTCGACCGAAACCTATTGAGCCGAAAAAAGAAAATGAGCAAAAAAAATCAAACATGACTTCAAAATTACAAAAAAAAATTAAGTCCCCTCAGCCTCAAAACACGCACACATGCACACAAAAAATTTTAGCTCGTCGAACGAAGCAACATGAGGCCACTAAGACAATATATTTTCGCCCGAAACCTTTTAAGTCGAAACAAAGGAAGTATAAAAAAAAGAAATTTTATTAAATCAACTAAAATCAAATTTCGAATAGGGCAGTTACAAAAATGCAAACATGCAAGAAATATGTCTGTTGCAATACATTTGTTGCTCACAGAGGCCTCCAGGAAATGAATAAATCCAAATAAATCTTCTATGCGAAAAAAAATTAAACCAAATTGCAGCTGGCAAATTTGCAAACAACAATAAAATTACAAATTTTGAATACAGCGAATGTTTAAAACGCAAAAATGCTCCAAAAATATCCGTCGGTACTCCTATATAACAGAGTTAACTAAATGACTCAGTGAATTTGCAAGACAAATTGTTTACAGAAAATGTTTGTTCCAATTTGATAACGCTTGCTAATCGCAAATATAACAATACTGCTCGTACATCAAGGCAAAGCTCTGAAAGTTCAGATTGCCTCTTAACTTCTCTTAAATTTTGTACTGCAAATATCAAATGCAAGTGCTAACAGCTGAGTTGAAATAATATTATCAATTATAATTGGTCACAGTTCAATTGAGATTTATTACATAGAGGCGAAGTTGCACTTCGCACACACAAGCAAAAATATGACCGATAACGCTACTGGGAAAAACTGAATAAAACTTTGAGTCTACAAAATTTCATAAGTGACGCACGCCAATTATGAGTTTACATAATTTCTAAGTGACGCAAGCCAATTATGACGCATTAACAGTACCAGTCAATTTGAAAAAAAATTACCAACCAACATACCTCAATTTATAGAGCGGACGCATTTTAACTAGTATCCGAAAAAGTTCATTAAAAACATCCGACCCTGCCCAGGTTCGAACCCTCTTATTTTGCTGCTGGTCTCTTTCCCTACCTCTTAGCTACAGACCCATGATGCCTTGAAGCTAAAGTGCTATTTGCAATATAATAGTCTGAGTTAATATCCTTAGCATTGACTGTACTTAATAGTTGGATCAAAATGAACACATTTGTCGCAACAACATTTGCGACTTAGGTTGGAAAAAAAGAAAGTTCATACTATAACACAATATATGCTTGTGTAATGAGTGCGGATAATTTGTCAGGCATATATATAATTAGTGTATTCAAACTAGCAAAGTATTATTCGAGCTGTGATGCCATCCTCATTTTAGTCTTGTGAAACAATCATGCGAAACAATCAAAAACAAAAAAAAAACTTTTTAAATAGTACCAAAGAGAGACCCATCGTTTTGCTACCAACAAAAAGATGCAAATTCTCAAAAAAATGGAGGGTTAAAATGCAAACATGCTCAAGATATATTTGTCAGTACATATCTACAACGGAAGTTAACTACACGATACAGTGATTTTGTTTGATAATCTATTTGCAAGAAAAAGTCTACATTCCGATTTGATAAAGCTTCCTAATCGTAAATACAAAAATAAATTGGAAAATCTAATTTCAAATGTGCATTAGCCAAAAACAGCATGTAGGCAAATTCATTTTTAGGAGCAAATTTTTAGAATTTATTACAAAACCGAGCTTCATACGCTGAACAATCATTAATAAAAAAGGTTATGATCATTCGGTTATTGAAATTAAAATCAATATGCGCGAACAAGGGGAACCAGTCGTTTGAATGGGTAGCCAGTTAAATCATACAAAAACAGATTAAGAAACTATTATGAACCATTCCAATAAAAAGCTCTTCGAAAGTCACATGCCGATAAAAACTGTTTCGGTTTGATTTTATGACCCGCCCCCTATGAGTTTCTTTGAGGCATTAAATTTGCGCAAAAAAATTTCCTACGCATAGGCCTTTAATATTCTTAGATTGGTCGGAATAATAACTGTATTTGATATTCAATGACATATTATTGAAAACCGCTAAATAAAATTAAGTAATGCCAATTAAAAAACCAACAAACGGCTCATTTGATGTTCGATGAACGTTCCGTACGTCGCTTCTACGTACAAGGGTGTTTAATATACAACTTTACTAAAAAAACATGCGTTTAGTGAACATCTGAGGCAATTCTTCCTAAAAAGCAATCTATAGGCTCAATTAGCATACGTTTGAAGCAAAAAACGCCAAAATCAAACTATCCAAGATAACCATCATTTTCAGGATAAAAAAGATTGAAATACCTCAGTTATTTTACATATTCGTTTAAACCAACAATAGTTACCAGCTGAACAATTTCTGCGACTAAACCGTTACCATGTCAAAGCAAACGACATCTCAGAAAACTAAATTATCAAGCTTTCTTCAACATACTAATAAACTAAGATATAGCCCACATAAGAGAAACTACTAAAGTAATCATTGCGTCCATTTAAACAACCAACTATGCAAGCAAAGAACAGAACTCGACGCGACTTCAAAATCAAATTATTCAACGTGTTGAGTTTATCGACTTCTCGTTTTGATTAACAACATAGAATAAGACGTAAATTAACATAACCCATTATTACATTATAAAATTTCTGTCGATTTCTGAAATTTCGAGACATAAAGAACAGAAGCAATAGAAATCATTCAGACTTCCACCTATCCAGTTGAGTAACTGAAATTATTTCACCTGCTTTGCGTGTTATCAACTCATCGGAGGTTACTAATTAGTCAAAACTGAACATGTCGCGAAATTATCTCGGGGAATCAGAAATGCGCGACTACTTTTCTCTTTTTGACACCAAAGGCGACGGCAAAATCGCAAAGGTACACCAATTTTATGGGCTCTGCAAAAATATCATGTTCTTAATTGACCATTTAATGTTTCAAGAAAAAAAGCATGATCTAAAAGTACACAAAAAGCAAGGATAGCCTACTGTACTGCAAATTAAATAGAATTTTCCCACCACAGCAATTTATTTCGAAAATTTCAGTAAGGAAGGAAACTTTTTTAAAATCGCTAAAACAAAATTATGAATTTTTTTCTGTTTTTTTTGGAACTTAGTTACTTTTTAGTGATCATTCACTGAAGTACGGGAACAACTGCAAGAATGGAAAATAACAATAGCTAAAATAAAGATCAACTTGCAGTAGAAATCAATTGACGTCAGCCTCAGGAATTTCGTCTAAATTAGTCTGAAAATCAAAAAGATTCGGGTCAGTGTTTCTCGATACTGAGAACAACTACTTTTGATATATTATTTATTAAGAAGCTGAATTAAGATCAGCAGTTCTTTAGTATGATATCAAACTTGGCCCCTATGATTTTCTGTTGAGGTAATTGGCTGGAGTTTTTCAAAGCGGACCTACGCCCTAGTTTTTTTCCGGAACAACAACACTGATGTAAGCAACATCTAAACAGAGGCAAAGCTGCGCTTCACTAACAATAGCAAGATTGTGACAAAAAGCATCTCTAGAAAAAGCAAAAAGTAAAAAAAGCCTCGAATTAGTCAAAATTCGGCGACGTCTCGGACTCGAACCAACGACCTACTGCCCCCTAGAATTTACGAATATCACGCACTAACCACGCAGCTACGGACACTTATTCCATCACAAACACTTTCCAATAATAAAGCGGAGAACAGATGCTATGAAAATTCCAATGCTTTCAGATCGTGATTATAGCAGAAGTGGCACCAAATAATGAACACTTTGCCACTAAATAATGAACAATTTTCATTTGCGAGTTAGGTTAGAAAAAAAGAAGGTTCGTACTGAAGCACACTAGCTGCTCGCTAGCGTAAATATTCGAAGTTCTTGTTACTAAATGTACAAAGATGTTTATTCATTTTCGTTGTGCTTTTCTCTACAGACCATTATTGGTGACTGAAAAAAAATTTTGAGGGCCATTTGTTCACACAATATCGAAATCGGTTCTTTTTCATTTTACCGACCTGCGAATTTTTATATGTAAAACACTTGTTCACTTTGCCTGCTAAGTGCGAAAGTGGCATTCTGACTAATTAGGCCATGGAAAACATATTTGGTCTTCATACTTGTCCATGTAAAACCACAGGCATGAAATGGTTTTTGACGCTTATGTCATGTAGAAACCACAGGCATGAAATGCTTATTTGAAGCTTATGTCAACGGAAGGAACGGAAACAAAGTCTCACTATCTCGTTAAGATTAAACCAACACAATTTTCACCGACACAATTAAACACACTTTAAACCAACACAATTAAACCAAAACAATATTTTTAAGACCACCGCTTATAGACAACAGAAAAAATTTCAATGGAAAGAGATCAAAAAGTTAAACCAACTTTCAGTACTTTCAAATTCGAATATCTTTTGATATTGAAACAATTTTTTGATAAAACTAAGCCAATTTGTCAAAAATGGATCAAAATGTAACTATTATTCAGGAAAAATGACAATTTACACCCACTTTTCAAAAACTTATTGGAATAATGGAGACAAGAATTCGCATTCTTTTCAGCAAATGAACTTGATTTAAACTTGAAATAAAACAAAAGTTGAAATAAAACAGAACAAAAATCAAATTTGAGCTTGATCAGCTTTTAGTACTTTCTTTTTAAAAGCCGAGAAAAAAGACGCAAATGAGAATCATCACTTCATTCATTGTTACTTACCAATTCCCAATTGAGGCAAGCTAAATGCTTTAGACAAAACGAAACAAGTACTAATTAAAACCAGTTAATTTTGAGGATTTTTCAATGTGAGAATTCTTTACAGCTTCTATCTTTTTAAGATTGTCCCGAGTTAGATTGTTCAATTTTCAGCACAACAAAAATCAGCATCGAAGAGTATCAGGGAATCAAGAAATCTGACAAAAGAAGCTAGAACATCTGAAAGAGAATTTGAGATTGTTGCCAAAAAATTGAGACACTCAGACGTAAAATTAGTCAAACTACGCCGCGCTTACGCGAAACCAAAAACAGCATAACAAATCACATACGTCTAACCGATACATTGCGCTTCTTGTTTTTAGACACAGAGGCGACAAAGCAGCAGTTCTTTAAAGTGTAATCAGAACAAGCAGAAATAAACCTCAAATTAGTAAAACGTTTGCTACGCGACTGATTCGAACCAGTTACCTCGTGAATAAGAGTCTCACATTCTTCCTACTCGGTCACGTACGCCTTGCAAGAGCTTAAAACTTGCCACAAAAAAAACGAAGATAACAGATGCTATGAAAGTTCCAATGCTAGAGATCGTGATTATAGCAAAAAAGCCACCTAATGAGCATTTATATTTGCGATTTCGGTTGAAAAAATGTAGGTTCACATTAATACACTAAACTTCCTAGTGCAAAGAAAAAATAGCCAATAGACAATTGGAAAAGAGCCAACGGACGCAAGAAAACAAAAAAATATATATTTTTAAAGCTTCAATTTGCGATTTTCAAAGTTAAACATATGTGGTCTTTTGAAATTCGAGAACAATTCATAATTGACACTTTTTTAATAAGACAAACCCAAATTCAGAAAACTTTACTCACAGAGGCGAAGCTTCGCTTCACAATCAATAGAGAAAATACGACGAAAAGCAGCTCTATAAAGTGCAATTAAAAAAAGAAAGAAGTCTCGACTTAGCAAAAATTCGGCTACACCGGAGATTCGAACCTGCGACCTAGTGATTTTTAAGGAACAACTTTTACTTGCGATTTAGGTTAGGAAAAAAGAAGGTTCGTAATAATACACTAAGCTGATTGCTATTTTCTTAAGTACAACTTGTATTCCGCGAGCTCTTTGAATTTCAAGATTAATTCATGATTGATAATTTCTGATAAAATTAACTCAATTTGAGAAAGCTGGATTAATAGATAAAAACTTTACTCCGCAGGGAAATCTGAGAACTAAAATCCAGTTTCTAAATTAGAAGTCGATCACGTTTACAATTCTGTGACCTTTACGCTATTGCTGTTCAATAGAGGAGTTTGTCTTCCTTTTCTTACGATCAAAAGTCAAACCTTGAAAATCAAATTTGAACCAGAACAAATTTCGAGAATTTTGCTGAAAAAAGCAAAACAAAAAGTAAAACAGCGGTTTTTCTGTGAGTGAACTGATATCGTAAAAATCTTATAAAAGAAGTGTATGTAGATAATACTTCTTACAGCTGCAAATGATTCATGAAATCTGGATATGAAGCCCTAAATATTTTTGTCCGTTTCTCTGCAACTACTTAGGATAGAGACTAGAAATTCTGATAAATACTCCCTAATTAAAAATTAACTGAAAATTGGATATAAAAATAAATATCCTCAAAAAATATACACAAATATCTGGCCTTGTTTCCTTTCACATCCAAATTTTCAAATGTAGAATCTTTGTTTACGTTGTCGAATTGTACCGAAACTTGGCGTGCAAAGTAATAACGAGTTTTCAACATAATTGATCGCTTTATACACAAACCGTGTAACAACCACTGATTCCACTAAAAACACTTGATAGGCTGCTAACTCGTCTTATTTGTGTTCGTCCGAAAATTTTTAAAATTATATAATTATATTTTTGATTTTAAATTATACTTTCAATAAATTTAAAATAGTAATTTCCGTAAACTTCAAGCATATTGTTCCTTTCTTGAGAAAGAAATGCATCATTAATTGTAAGCTACTATTCCGATTTCAGGGTGACTTCGGCACTGTCTCCCGCTCTCTGGGTGCGAATCCGACCAACAAAGAGATCTCCACCCTGACTAGCAACAGTGGCAAGGACAGACTCTCCTTCGAGGATTTCTACCCCATGTGGCAGAGTGTGATCAAAATGGAGGAGGAGAGGGCAGACACTTACGGACAGGACAAGATCGTGTCTGGATTCAGGTGGGGGGGGGGGTGTTTATTCACTCATTTGTAAAAAACAATAAAACAATTTGATTTTATTTACAAATAAAAGAATAGCCGACAAACAGTTGAATAAATGACTATAAACTTAAAGAAACTAAAAAAAACATTCAAAAATCAAATTATAATGCAAAAAATCAACATGAGAAATTAGATGGAAAAAATTCATAGACACTTTAAAAAATCATCTCGGAATAACACCAAAAAGGCCAGTTAAATGCCTATCGAGTACCGTCTTTATACATTTGATCAAATTATCAACCCTAAAAACATACAAAGAACAAATCTTCTATCCCCAATATAATATGGATTACATCAACTGACCGCCGCTTGCACAAAACAAATTTGCAATTTATATTTGCATCTTTTGAAAATTTGGCTCAATATCAAAAACAAATCGATAAATTAGACACCTCAAATGATGAAACTTTAGTTGCAGGGGCAGATCTAGAATTTTCTCAAGGGGCAGATTATAATTTTTAAGAAATTCTAAAGTTTCGCGACCTTTTATTCAGGTCGATATAAATGATTTTCTGAGCTCTCCCAAATCACTCTAAAGACCTTATTTGGAACTAATTTGCTGCACCGCAGGCAAATTTCTCAAAAAAACGTCCAAAATTGCGTTTTTGGCGCGCCCACCCCTCAAAATAAGTGTATATTGGCGTTTTGAGAAAAACTTTCAGATCTAGCGCCAAAAATTTACTGCCCTTTGGGTCGGGAGGGGGTCGGGTCGATTAAAAAAAAAAAGAAATTTGCAAAAATGTTTGCCAAACTTGAGTCTTGACGTTCCAAAAAAGCTCGAAAACTGAACTTTTTCTCTATTTATCAAAACGCTAACAACAAGTTCTTTTGACAAACTAGCTTTTGACAAACCAGTGCTGATTTCAGAGCGTTCGACCGCGAGGGCAACGGACAGATCACAATCTCTGACGTGCAGAACATTCTAGAAAAACTGGGAGAACGGCTGTCGGGGGAGGAGTCGGGGGCCATTCTGGGTCAGTTTGTGGACAGCGAAGGCAGAATTGAATACGAAAAGATGGTGAACACGATTCTCAACGACGACAGCCGACCATGAAAACATTTGAAAAATAGGAGATCAAAGAGAGAAAACTAAACATTAAAATAGAGAATACTAACCACAAAATCAGTCAAATTCCAGACAACGTACTGAACGAATAATGGTCAACCTATAAAAAAAAGTAACAATGACATCTATGAATTGATTATCTTAACTTCATTATCAATGACGACAATCGAACATGCAGAAAAGTTCCGAAATAAACAAATCGATCTCATTAAGCAACTAAAGGACAACTTATGTTAGAGGGAAACTGACATAAAAAGTTTGATTATCTAAATTTTTACACAGAGCTGAAAATGCACTCAGCAATCACAAGCAAAATCAAACATAGCCAACTGGCAGTTGGAAAAGAGTAAAGAACGCAAGGCAAAGAAAAAAAACTAACTTGATTTTTTTTTTGAAAAAACTTGAATTTTCGAATTTTAAAGAAAAAACATACGCCCTTACTGATCTTATAATTTCACGAACAATTTATGGTTTGTGCTTTTTTTAAATAAAACTTACCCAATTTGAGAAAAAAAAGAGACCAATAGACAAAAAAACAATTTCGCGCTAAAGTCTGAAAATTAAAACCCACTTTCGGAATTAGAAGTTGATCACATTTTTCGTGACCTTTACATTTTTTCTGCTCGATAGAACTTTTCCTTCATTTTAACAATGGAAATGAAGTGAACTTAAAACACCAAAATCTAAATGAGAGTACTCACTACGTTCATTAATGGTGTCGTGACAGAAACTGGAACCATTGAAAAAATTTGAATGAAAACTTTTTCAGAATTTCAAATTCACAAACACGCAATGTGAAAAACAGGGTCATCTGTTTTTCGTTTGTTAACGCAATAATGAGACCATGAAGTTTGCTTGAATTCATGAAACTAATTTTGAGCTTGATAAGTTCACCACACAGGCTACACATGAACCGAATTAATTCGCGCATTGATAAAAACAATTGGCAATTTCCAAACCTCAGACTTTTTTTTTAAAAAAATGATGAATGGTAAAATATCTTTTAATTTTCGAGCTCAGGACATCAAACCGCTCAAATTGTTCAAAGAAATTACCATGGCTTTCACTAATACTCCTGACAGAAGAGCACACGAAAAAGGTCAAACTTACAAAAAATAATGACAATAAAAATGGAAAAATTTCAAAAAAGAAGCACTAAATTATCGGATAAAATTAACAAAGCCAGTAAGGGAAATTTTGCTTGGGAAGGAAAATGATAAATAGACTGGAGAACGAAAAAATCTCTAGAGACAAAAATGCACTTCAAAATTCCATGCAAAACTAAATAGAAACTTGAACTGTACAACTTCTGAAAATAATTTACAAAGAAAAACTACATGAAGTACACGCTTTGTGAAGTACTGAGTTAGGACCGAAGTGTATAACTCATAGAGTAATTTCGGATAGGGTACACCGTCTGCTCGTCACGCTATCTTATTTTCGGCCGGATAGATTCGTGCAACTTCTTAGTCTAATACCGATCCTAATCTTACTCTTATACTATCTAGTCTCAGGTTGTTTAACTAGTCTCTGCTAGGCTCAATAGATCTAGGGTATACTGGTTTATTGCGGCTGCTGAAGTCTTCTTGGAGAGTCAACTAATTTCTAAGTTAAATTCAAATCTCTCTGGTGCTGAAATTACAAGTAATTTCAGCACTTACAAATAAGTGGGTTGTTAGTTAGATGGATCATGATTGGTTAATATTAAATACTTTACAGTGGTAAAATATCTAATTTATCCAATCATAAAATGTAGTTTAGATCAGGTTCCACCCATCCGGGTTTTACAGAGTTTTTTAGAATAGTCTTTCTGCAATTCAAAGGATGGATGATGGACGTTGGTATTTGGCGAACATCTTATTTCTTCTGGGTTTTCTTATTAGAGAAGTCCCAGATTCAATCGTTGTGTCTTCTCAAGACAACGACTGGGTTTTCGCAACAAACTCAAATCTGATTTCAAAATGGTTGGCTATGACAGGTTTTTCCGTTTCATGTAGAGAACTTCTTTTGAGTTTGACCTTGTCTGGGAATGGCGTGGAGATTGTGTGTGGAGGGGATGCCTGGTTACTCGGATCTGTACGTATACTTGAACATCGAGGTGGTCATTGTTCTAGTTCAATGAAGTCCTTTTCTGCGAAGTCAAGTCGTACTCTAAATCCTTTGAGTTGTGATTGTGGGCGGCATATTGATTGTGGTTGGCCATTCTTTTTCGAGTGTAGTGGGGTCATCTTGTCTTTGGATGTTCGTCTTTGGTGTTGTATGCTGATCTATATACTGCAAGATATAATTTACATTTTATAAAATTTTTATTAGTTTAATGTTTTAGTTATGATTTTGGTTAGTTGTTTTCACAAAAGCTTTTTGTTTTAGTTCGGTTATTTTGAAGAGTTACTCACCCTTGAGTAGCTCTTATTAAAAATAGGAGTGTGGTCACAAAGCGTGGATGTAGCGCGGTGGGTTAGGCCGGCTATAGAGCATGCTCAGGACGTCCTCTTCTGGTGGGTTAGGCCAGGAGTGGGAGTATGATTGCATGCGGTTTTTGTGAGAGGTCCTGTTATGTGACAACGTTTTATGTTGGGTTTGTTGTGGTTTTTCTTATGTTTTGTTGGTTGTGTCCTTTTTTCAAAAATCAAATTGTTTGTGGTATGGGTTTGTCTTTCGACTTTTTTTGTGTTTTATTATTTCTTTCTTAGACTTTATAATAGTCTTCAAAAGAATAAATTATCCAGTTTTAAACTGGGTCAATCCGGTTTGGGTACCGTTGGTTTCCTTTTCTTAGTCATGCTGTTATTCTATGATTTGTGGTGTTTAGTAAGCTGCGTTGGTTAGTGTTGTTTAGTATATAATTCCTTTCCAACCGGGTTAAAGGAAAGTTTTGAAACTTGTTATCGTGTGTTAGAGTTGTTGAGTGTGAAAGCTTGAAACTGAAATTCATTATTTTAAACAATTCTTCGTGGGCGAGCTGTGCGAGTGTGGATAGAATCTTTGTGCGAATGAATGGAAATATCAAAAGGTTAGTACTGCATTTTCGTTTTATCAATTTATTACATAGAAATTCAAATTTACTGCTAGTTGTTGGGGAAAATTAAGTTACAAATTTTCATCATTATTAGATTTACTGCATTTGGGAAAAAAATTATAAATTAAATTACTTCATTGGTATTATTTTTATTGAATTGTTTGGTGCAAAAAATTAATAGAGTTTTTTAAACAGTTTGAAGAAGTTTTCAATTTTTATTTTCTTTTGTGAATTTTTCAGATGATCGTTGGATGAAGGCTAAAATTTTAAAGAAGACATGAATAAAGATTGGTTAGTTTCTAATTTTAATTTAATTAGTTAATAATATGTATAATTCATACTTACCTGTTAGTCGTCGGGGAAGAAACCGTGGGGGAAGATGTCGTGGATGAAATCTGAAGTTGTTAGTAATTTAGCTAAGATGCGGATGATATTTTTAGTTTGAAGCAGTGGCCAAAGCAATTGAAGTGCTTTAATGGTGGTTAGTTCTTCAGTGCCAACTGCAAACTCATAAGGTGTGTTTTGGATTAGATTATATAATTTGTGATTGAATGTAGTGTTGTGGATGAATTCTAAAACGGGGATTTCTATAGGTTGAACAAATTCGTGTGGGAGAAGGAAGGGTCGGGATTCTTCTGCGTTGAAGGTCTTGGTGATGGGACAAAAAATATACATTTGGGTTATGGGATCATAATTTCGAAGAATACCATGAAGGTTAGTATCTTTAATGCAATATGTGAAGTTAAGAAAGAATGGTGAGGTGTATTTGGAATTGATGAATTGAAAACGGTGGTGTGGTTGTCTGGAGGGAGTGTGTAGGTCGAAGTGATTTTGGATAAAACGATAATATGTATATGTGTGAGTTTGTTTAGTGCGCAACATAATATCGTGTGAGCAGTGCAAATCTCTTTCATGTGGTGCAAGGAAATGAAAGGTTAGTGAAAATATTTGGAAGCGTTCTTTAAAACTTTCGTAGGCTTGCGTGTCTGTTAGTGCTTCTATGATGTGGTCAAATTTGCGATCAAATATATTGAGTGTAAAAACATATTGTGTTTTAATGAAAAATTTTTCTGTGATTTGTGGGTTAGCGAAGCGATCGTCGTCTAAGAATTGATCTTGGTTAGTTCTGATGATGTTATGATCGTAATATTCTAGCGTATATTCGTTAGCTCGGGGTGCAGTGTATGTTTTTAGTGATTTTTTATATCCGATTTAAGTAAATTGTCTAGGTGTTAGTGGTGTAGTGAGTCGATATAGCATGTCCTTATTTCGTTCTATATCGATGTGAGTGTCAGATAAAGGTAGGCAAAGGGGATTAGTAAAATGATAATATGAGGTCCAAGGAAGGGTAGGCATTAAAACGTGTTCGTCTACAAAGTTACGTGTTTCGTTAGTGCCGTGAGGGGTGTTTAAGGTGTATTGTGGAAATGAGGGTAAGGTGATAGCTAAAAATTCTTTTGTATTAGTGTGATTTGGGTGATTTATATATTCACGGGCTGTTCCTGGTTTTGCTGGGAAAGGATGGTTGGGGAACTTTCTTTTAAAATTGCGGTAAGCTCTATTAGTGCTGAGTGAAGATTCAGTAGATGTGGATGATGGTGCTAATGATTCGGTATAAATTGAAGAGGGTGTAGGGTTAGGAGGGTTGGATGAATCTACTGTGGATGAAATTTGATTTATGGTGGGGGTGTCAAGGTGGTAGGGTTGTTGTTGTAATGTAATAAAATTATCTAGTTCTGGGGAGATTTGGGGAGTATCTGGAGAATTGGATGATCGGTCTGAATGATATGAAGAATAGGTTGGAGTGACTTGGGAAGCATAAGAGGGTGTAGAATTGGCGGGGACAGGGTTATTTGGTAGCATTGGTTGAAAAGGGGGTTGGGAAAAAATTGAGGGGTTGGTGTGAAAATTATTGGATGGAGATGGTTCAGAGTCGGCAAATTCATCGGGGGTTTCAATATTCGGGTTATTGAGTTGTGATGTGGAGTATAAAACTGAGATGTGTGAATTAGTATCGGAATTCGTGCCTGATGTTACATTACTGGTTGGGAAATCGGGTGGCGGGAAAGCAAAAAGTGGTATTATTGTAATTGGAGTAGTGAGGTTGGTTGGATGGGAATTTGAACGGTGT